ATGACATCCCCCTGAAAGGAGAGACCCCAAAACTGCTCATCACAGGGGTCAGAAACCACCACATGTCCTCACAGCAACGCCCAGCCCAGAGTCTCATCCCCTCTTGTTTCCAGGGCAAAAGAACAGGCCGAGGACCTGTCATTATTATAACAATTAATGCCTCCTCCCAGTGTTAACTGCTGTGTTGATGCCCGGCTGGGCCCACTCACCCTGAAGTCCTCCCCGGGGAAGTTCCTCTTACACACCGTACAGGTGGCAGTGGCAAAGGTGCCGTGGGCTTCCACCAGCTTGTCGGGAGGGATCCCAGCCACTGGAATACAGCACGTGGGAGAGGACTGAGCTCCCTGTGTGCATCTCCCCAGTCCTGCTTCTCCCCTCCCCAGCTCCTCCTGGTGGTGCTGCTGGGAGGGGGAACTCACGTCTCTCCAGCCCGTCGATGTTCTGGGTGTAGAGGCGCAGGAGCAGCCCCTTGTCGTGCAGCAGCCGCAGGAAGTAGTGGGCGGAATTGGGGCGGTAGTTGCCGGGGTAGAGCTCCTTGGCCAGGGTGAAGAAGGGCTTGGGGTTGACAAAGAAATAGCCCAGCTCGAAGATGGCCTCGGGGTACGGGATGTCGTACTGCTCCAGGTTGCTGTACAGGCCGCTCCCGGGGGACCTGCACGGACAGGGGGGAGCTGGGAGGGGCTGCAGCACCAGCGTTACCCGGGCTGGAGACAGAATCCCAGCGTCATTTAGGTTGGGAAAGGCCCCCAGAGGTCATCGAGCCCACCCTGTGACCGATCACCACCTTGTCCCCCAGCCCAGAGCACTCAGTGCCACGTCCAGCTGTTCCTTGGACACCTCCAGGGATGGGGACTCCACTACCTCTCTGGGCAGCCCCTTCCAATGTTCAACCACCCCTTCCATGGAGAAGACTTGGCCCTCCCAGCACTGGGAAAGGACAAAGAGGACGGAGGCATCACCTGAAGTCGGGGATGCCGCTGGGTGTGCTGATCCCGGCTCCGGCCATCACCACCACGCGGCGACATTCCTTCTTCCGGAGGAGCTCGGCCACGTCCTTCAAGGTGAGTTTCTCCTTCCCCTCGTCACCTCCCCACCTGCCCCGGCCCAAAATGGCTCTGGCAGCCGCACTCAGAGAGAAGGGCCTGGAGCCTTGGATCCTGCTCGGCACGGGGGGGAAGCACAGCAGGTGTGTCCTGAGAGAACTGACAGCAACCTTGGCTCTGGGGGAGAAAAACACCCAAAAATTCCACAGAAAGCTCTTCCACGGGCAGGATTGTGCTAGGGCTTCACTAGGAGAAAGCTTGGCTGCTAGTCTGACCCAAACCCAGGAGCAGACACGTCCCTCTGCACTCCCTTACGTGGATCTAAAATACATCCCTGGTATTCCCATGAGAGGGTTTTTTCGGACAGGGGTGGACACAGGGCTGTTGGGAGCAGCAGCACTGGGAATCACCAG